ACAAGTGCTCTAAAGCATTGTGGGTTACATCAAGTGACCTTTGACATTAACAATGATGTAATCTAAAAGTATCCTACTAACATCTCCCTTTACAACAATGAAAAAACTTGATTTCTCAAATTGATAAACATAACTGGCCTGACTAATCTACTTAACATGGATAAGAGGAGGACTGCCCTTTAAAAATCCATATACTGGTCAGACTGGGAATTATCTTACCCAAGTGTGTCTGTACCAGCTCACTAACTAGCTACATGTTCATGAAATAATCTTTGTAACGATTCGGGATCTTACTTTGTCTACCACTGCGTGTAGTTGTTTGTTTAACTGGTGAGCATTGTATAGTTGTAGATTCTGTTTGCTGTGATGGATTGTTTGGATCGCTGACTGACACTGAAGGTGGCTCTATTTGTACTGGCTCAGGTGAAATCTCACTTTGTAGTGGTGGTTTCTTGTCACACTGATCTAAGCGTATGAATTTCCGGTTTCTTCTGTATAACTGACCATCGTCTGATTCAATTAAGTAGGAACGTGGACCAACCTTTGCCACACATGAGCCTCGTTTCCATGGCTGTTTAGGCCTCAGTGGTTGTAATCTTATTGAGTCACCTATAACTAGCTCTGGTAAAGGTTTAGCGTGTTTGTCATAAACTGCCTTTGCCTTTTGCCTTTTAATTGATTTTGATATTTTCTGGAACCCCGTCTACTATTCGTGGTTTAAGTAAAGCTTCAGCTGTAGGAATTCTGGTTCTAGTTCTTCTGGACATCAGTTTCTGTACTGGGCTTGAACCATTCACATCAGGGGTATTTCTCCATTCGAGTAAAGCTAATTGTATATCTCTGTTGTTTCGTTTAGCTTTTTTGATAAGCTTCTTTGCAATTTTAACTGCGGACTCAGCTTTGCCGTTACTTTGGCTGTGCAATGGAGAATTGGTTGTATGTTTGAATTCCCATTTATGTACGAAAGCAGAGAATTCATCGCTGGTATACTGCGGACCATTATCTGTCATCATGTCAGCGATTCCGTGTCTTGCGAAATGAGACTTTGTCGCATCGATAATTGTTGATGACGTGGTGTCTTCAAGGTGATCTATCTCAAAATAGTCACCATAGTAATCTACAGTAACCAAGTAGTTTTCTCCGTAAATCATGAATAAATCTTGTCCAACTTTGGACCAAGGTGTATTCGGAATGCTGTGTGTCATTAATGGCTCTTTCTGTTGTTTGGCCAAAAAGTCATTACAAGTACTACACGACTTTACTTTCTCTGTGATTTCCCCTATCATGCCTGGCCAAAATAGGACATCACGTGCTCTTCGAACACAATCATCTGGTCCTAAATGGCTGGGATGTGCTCTTGCGATCATCTGTGGTCGCATTGAAAATGGTATTATAACTTTCATACCCTTGTATAGAACACCATCCTGAGCAGTTAGTTCATCCCTAAAGTTCCAGTATTCACGGATACAAACTGGGATTTCCTCGCGTGAATCTGGCCATCCGGTCATGACTGTATTCATGAGCGTTAGTAATGAAGCATCAGCTGATGTACAGGATTTGCCTTGTTCGTGAGTTCCCTCAGATAAGCGCATATATTCTACCTGTTTTATATCAGCGATTTCTTGAAATAAGCTCTGCTCTTGTGCGAGTTGGAATATTTGGTATTCTGGAGTATTGTCTTCTTGTAGTCCTGCTGTCTGCTCATACGCTCTGCTTAACATATCAGCAATGTACATCTTGGATCCTGGTAAGTATTCAATTTGCAAGTTGTACTTTTGCAAACGAAGCAACATTCTTTGCAAACGTTTTGGCGCTGAATGTAATGATTTGTGGAAGATCGGAACCAAAGGTTTATGGTCTGATTCTACAGTGATTTTATCACGACCATGCAAGTATTGGTTGAATCTGCAGCAAGCAAAGACTATTGCCAGGCACTCCTTCTCAATCTGCGCATAATTTTGTTCAGTTTGTGATAATGCTCTGGAGGCAAACACAACTGGCTGCCCATTTTGCATTAGAGTGGCTCCTAATCCAGATTGAGACGCATCGCACTGTATTGTGACCTCTCTGTTCACATCATAATACTTGAGTACTGGTGCAGAACTAATGAATTTCTTTATGTCAGAAAATGCTTCCACTTGTTGACTTTCCCAGACAAACTCAACATTGTGCTCTATCACTTTGCGAAGTGGTTCACATATCTCTGAGAGCTTTGGTAAAAATCTAGATAGATAGTTAACACAACCCAACATGCGCTGAACTCCTTTCTTGTCAGTCGGTGTGAGCATATTGACAATGGCAGAAACCTTTTGTGGATCAGGTTTCAACCCTTCACTCGTAACAAGTTGTCCCATATATGTAACTTGTTCTCTTCTCAGCCTGAATTTCTTTTTATTCAGCTTCAGATTTACTTCTCGTGCTCGCTCAAGCAATTGTATCAAATTCTTGTCATGGTCTTCTAGTGCTTCATCCATGGTTTCTCCACAACCAAAACACAGAATATCATCTACTATAGCTTCAGTACCTTCAAGTCCTGCAAGAACCTCATTCTGACGCCGTTGATATTCTTCAGGGGCACTGCTAATTCCCTGAGGCAACCTTAGATAGCGATATCTGCCAAATGGTGTCCAAAATGTGGTGAGATGTGAGCTCTCTTCGTCCAATTTGACTTGGAAGAACCCATCCTTAGCATCTAACACTGTGAAAATCTTTGCATTTGTTAGTTTGGATAGCAACTCATCTACTGTTGGCAACTGATATTTTGTTCTCTTTATAGCTTTGTTTAAGTCCCTTGGGTCTAAGCACACCCTCAGCTTGTCAGCTTTCTGCACTGCTACAAGGCTACTGATCCAATCTGTTGATTGTGTCACTTTAGCGATGATACCTTGCCTTTCCATATCATCAATTTTTGCTTTCAGTTTACCCTTTAGCGGAACTGGTACACGTCGTGGTACATGCTGTACAGGTTTGACTGTTGGGTCAATCTCTATACTGTATTCACCTTGTAAGCACCCCAATCCAGTGAAAACATCACTGTAATCGTTTAATATTTTCTCCATTGAAATTGGCTCATAATGCTTACTCTGCACCATATTTATTGATTTGTTTACACCAAGTGATAACCAACCCTTCTCAATGCATGTACTTCCATCTATGATGGGCCATGGTTCATTCTCAAGTATATCAAACTGTATGTTACATTTAGGGCTATTCCCCTGACTGACGGTCAATGTGTATGTACCCAATGGATTTACAATTCTACCATCATAAAGCTTAATTTTACCTTTAGGAGGATCTAATTTTACACTCCCAACTTGCACAATACCTAATAAATCTGAATGTGACATGGCACTGCAAGTTGCACCTGAATCTAATTGTACAGACATTTTGCAAGGATAATCTGTATGAAATGTCATAGGAATCATAAATGCTGTATTGTTCACTTTGCTATTCACTGTACCTATACGATGAAATGTGAATACAGAATTGTCAGATTCTTCATCTTGACTATCATGAATTGCTGTGTGATGTACAAATTTCTTACTGGGATTCTGTTTTCCCCTGCAAGCTGATGCGAAGTGGTTCAATTTGCCACATTTGTTGCAAGTTTTCCCAAACGCTGGACATTTTGTCTTATCTCTCAAATGGCTCAAACTGCAATACCTGCATTTATCAATATTGCCTTGCTTCTTGACATTAGCTGATTTGCTATACATTTGTGATTTGCTCTTTTGTGTTGCATGCACTGTGTTGTCTTGTGTTTCACCCATTGCACCTTTTATTTGTTCTCTGTGCACTTTGGACAGTTCATTAGCTCTCATGGCTTCGATACACCTTTTCAAATCGGGGACTGGACGTTCACGTAGTAGTCTGTCTCTTGTATTTGAATCGTGAGTACCCATGACTAGTCTGTCTCTTATCAAACTTTCATTTAGGTTATCAAACTCACACGATTCTGATAGTTGACATAGCCGCATGACATACTGATCAACTGTTTCATGTTCAGTCTGGTTTGCATATCCAAATTTCACACGCTCGAACAATAAATGTTTTTGTGGCATGAAATGATCCCCTAACTCTTTTAGAATTCTTGTTGGATCTTTCTTATCTTCATTGGATAATGTCGTGAGACTATTCATAATTTTGACACAATCCATACCCATAACACTGCATAGTGCACCAGCCTGTATTGGTTTGGATTTATCTCCCAATTCTGTGGCAACAACATAGTATTCCCATGCCGATTTAAAATGCTTCCAATTAGTTGACACATCACCCTTTACGTTCATGGGCTGTGGCGCTGGTATCTGGTATGTCGCCATTGCTATAAATAGATCGACTGCTTGTAAATACGTAAGTTGATCTATCTGTCGGAAAATGATTTACTAACTGGCCTTGCAGTTGACAATAATGTTCAGTATCGTATTACTTGTACTCACTTAGAATCGAGTTAAATCGATGTACATGTGTTCCCGACTGTCCGACTTAACTTGGTTTCAAATATGACGACTTCCTGTCAGACTCGTGGTATGGCGCGAATTCGAGAAACCTCTACGGAAGATCGACTTCATTCATCAATCTGTCACGTTCTGGTGCTTCACTGCTCTCAGATCCTGTCAGTGCTGAGATGAATACTTGTCGCTGGCTTCTTGTACTTCTGACACCATGTTATGCCTGATAGGCACGGTAGACTAAGAAATGACTCAGACTCACACAGTGAGTGTTACTTGGAGAACGCCATGTTTATTACAAGTGCCCTAAAGCATTGTGGGTTACATCAGGTGACCTTTGACATTAACAATGATGTAATCTAAAAGTATCCTACTAACATCTCCCTTTACAACAATGGAAAAAACTTGATTTCTCAAATTGATAAACATAACTGACCTGACTAATCTACTTAACATGGATAAGGGGTGGACTGCCCTTTAAAAATCCATATACTGGTCAGACTGGGAATTATTCTTACCCAAGTGTGTCTGTACCAGCTCACTAACTAGCTACATGTTCATGACATAATCTTTGTAACGATTCGGGATCTTACTTTGTCTACCACTGCGTGTAGTTGTTTGTTTAACTGGTGAGCATTGTATAGTTGTAGATTCTGTTTGCTGTGACGGATTGTTTGGATCGATGACTGACACTGAAGGTGGCTCTATTTGTACTGGCTCAGGTGAAATCTCACTTTGTAGTGGTGGTTTCTTGTCACTCTGATCTAAGCGTATGAATTTCCGGTTTCTTCTGTATAACTGACCATCGTCTGATTCAATTAAGTAGGAACGTGGACCAACCTTTGCCACACATGAGCCTCGTTTCCATGTCTGTTTAGGCCTCAGTGGTTGTAATCTTATTGAGTCGCCTATAACTAGCTCTGGTAAAGGTTTAGCGTGTTTGTCATAAACTGCCTTTGCCTTTTGCCTTTTGATTTTGATATTTTCTGGAACCCCGTCTACTATTTGTGGTTTAAGTAAAGCTTCAGCTGTAGGAATTCTGGTTCTAGTTCTTCTGGACAACAGTTTCTGTACTGGGCTTGAACCATTCACATCGGGGGTATTTCTCCATTCGAGTAAAGCTAATTGTATATCTCTGTTGTTTCGTTTAGCCTTTTTGATTAGCTTCTTTGCAATTTTGACTGCAGACTCAGCTTTGTCGTTACTTTGGCTGTGCAGTGGAGAATTGGTTGTATGTTTGAATTCCCATTTATGTACGAAAGCAGAGAATTCATCGCTGGTATACTGCGGACCATTATCTGTCATCATGTCAGCGATTCCGTGTCTTGCGAAATGAGACTTTGTCGCATCGATAATTGTTGATGACGTGGTGTCTTCAAGGTGATCTATCTCAAAATAGTCACTATAGTAATCTACAGTAACCAAGTAGTTTTCTCCGTAAATCATGAATAAATCTTGTCCAACTTTGGACCAAGGTGTATTCGGAATGCTGTGTGTCATTAATGGCGCTTTCTGTTGTTTGGCCAAAAAGTCATTACAAGTACTACACGACTTTACTTTCTCTGTGATTTCCCCTATCATGCCTGGCCAAAATAGGACATCTCGTGCTCTTCGAACACAAGCATCTGGTCCTAAATGGCTGGTATGTGCTCTTGCGATCATCTGTGGTCGCATTGAAAATGGTATTATGACTTTCATACCCTTGTATAGAACACCATCCTGAGCAGTTAGTTCATCCCTAAAGTTCCAGTATTCACGGATACAAACTGGGATTTCCTCGCGTGAATCTGGCCATCCAGTCATGACTGTATTCATGAGCGTTTGTAATGAAGCATCAGCTGATGTACAGGATTTGACTTGTTCGTGAGTTCCCTCAGATAAGCGCATATATTCTACCTGTTTTATATCAGCGATTTCTTGAAATAAGCTCTGCTCTTGCGCGAGTTGAAATATTTGGTATTCTGGAGTATTGTCTTCTTGTAGTCCTGCTGTCTGCTCATACGCTCTGCTTAACATATCAGCAATGTACATCTTGGATCCTGGTAAGTATTCAATTTGCAAGTCGTACTTTTGCAAACGAAGCAACATTCTTTGCAAACGTTTTGGCGCTGAATGTAATGATTTGTGGAAGATCAGAACCAACGGTTTATGGTCTGATTCTACAGTGATTTTATCATGACCATGCAAGTATTGGTTGAATCTGCAGCAAGCAAAGACTATTGCCAGGCACTCCTTCTCAATCTGCGCATAATTTTGTTCAGTTTGTGATAATGCTCTGGAGGCAAACGCAACTGGCTGCCCATTTTGCATTAGAGTGGCTCCTAATCCAGATTGAGACGCATCGCACTGTATTGTGACCTCTCTGTTCACATCATAATACTTGAGTACTGGCGCTGAACTAATGAGCTACTTTATGTCAGAAAATGCTTCTACTTGTTGACTTTCCCAGACAAACTCAACATTGTGCTCTATCACTTGCGAAGTG